CATGACTTGTTTACTAGCATATAGTAATTTGGGACCATTTGAAGTTGCTTTAGAACCTTGGGATTTAAATTAGCATGATTTAATTAAAATTCCACTTTATTGCTCCAACAACCTAATTGAGTTTTAGAATGGATATAGGTGATGACCATGCTTTGTCCTTTAATATGTATTAATTTGAGGTTATTTGGAATTGAATTGGAATCTAGAGAATTTAATTGTGTTTATTTAATTAAATTCTATCTAATTGTTCCATGGATTTAATTGCGTCTTGGAAGTTGTTTCTATGTTTAAATCATGGACTTGGACTTGGACTTGGACTTGTTGTGTATTCACTTGGTTACATTTGAGCATTTGATAACATTGTTGTTATATTTAAATTCATGAGCTTATGTTTTCAATGTTGAAAGATATTGTTATAGCGTGTAACGAATCGCACACTGAAGATTCGACATTTGTCATGCTATAGTAGTTGTGGACTTAGTACATGTATTGTATGTGTTTTCAAATTTGGTTGTGCTTGGTAGATAGTTGATATCTTGCATATACATGTTGATATATACGTTGTTGCACAACTTGTTGATTTTGAAAACTTGAGGATGTCGTTGTTTGGTTACGGCTTGGATTTGGTTCTAGTACGGGGGATTGTCCATCTATATAGTCTAGTGCGCACATAGGGAGGTTACCCATGGGCTAGTAACCCTAAAGTAACTATGGTGTCGGTTTGATCCGGCGTGACATCCAAGTATCCACTTTGGTTGATTTCGCATTTCCTTTCAAGTTGATAACTAGATGATATCGTAACTTCTTGTTCTTTGTTTGATTTACTATTTTAAGTTGCAAGATGTTAACTTTGAGAAATCATGCTTTATGCGTTGCATTGGAAGTTCTAATGTTGGTTAAATTGTATCGATATCATGATTTGTGTTTTGATGTTCAAATGTAATTTAGGAATGATCCTATAGATTCATTTTGAATATAGACATTAGGTGGCATGACCCACTCTTGTTGTTTTCGTATTTTAAGTTTCAAGTTGATGACTTTGAGAAGCTATATCTTGTTACTTTGTATAACATGTTTTTATGTTGTTGAAATGCATGAATGATGTGATTTATGCTAGAAACACTCTAAGGTAGCTTAGGATGCTTCCTGAGTCTCATTTTGATATAGATGTTAGGTGGCACGAACCCCTTTAACATGTTTCATCATAAGGTGATAAAATTGTAAAATGCTAGGTCGATGCATGCTCATCTCATACGAGTAGCTTTATGTTACTCACCTACGTAGTGGGGACATTTTTCAAGTACAGGAATCAATGTTGAGATTCTCATTATGCTTGGATGATTTGTGGACTTGAAGATTTCCATTCTTGTGAAGGTTGGCTTGAAATGCCATTTGTAGCCATTTTATCAAATGCGTATATTTGATTCCAAACTTGTATTATGTGTTTAAGCACACTTTTTGATATTTATTCTGTGTATATAATTTGTGGCCAAGGGCCAAACTTTATTTGAAATCCATGAATATTCATGAATGTTAAATTTTGCCTTTAATGAGAAAAGTATGAAAACTAAGGTTTTGATATGTCATTCTCGCACCGGTGTGTGCATTTTGTGTGAAATTCATCCTTTAACATTTATTTGCTATATGTGAGGTGTGGCCAAGGGCCAAACACCATTTAGTTTTCGTTTTTGCATTTTAGTTCACATATTGCATTTTTTGGGTTAAAATAGTAAAAACCAAGCCTTTAAGGGTTCATTTTCAAATCGGGTGGTGCAAAGTGTATTCCGGCACCTCCACTAGGTCTCATTAATCTTGTATGAAGTGTGGCCAAGGGCCAAACGGTCATTTGAAAGTATTTTAAAATTTTAGTTTTCAAATTTCTCTTTTTCTTGTTCATTTTCACCTTTTTGGCCGTTGGGGGGTCGAATTTGGCATCGGCGATATTTTTAAGTCATGGACCATTGTAGCGCATCCAAATAGGTAAGTTACGTTTGCGTGCATGATCGTTTTCAAGAAAAACCTCTTCCTTGGCAAATCGAGCCTCCTAGGGATTCATTTTGCATTTTTGTTGCATAATCTGATCTAGGGGCATTCTAGACCTTTCACATCAGTTTTATTTTCTTCTTTCGACATGATCGTTTAGAAAACGTGATTTTAGGGGGGTTTTTTTTTTGTGTTTTTCCAGAAAATGTCGTCTTGACATCGGAAATCCATCGCAAAGTTCAACATTCAATTTTGCGTTTAGCAGCTTTTTGGCCTTCAATGACCAGATTTCATGGAGGGGCATTTTGGGCATTTTACAGTGAGTTTTTTTTGAATTCTCACAAGAGTCATGTAGAAAACTTGATTTCGGGAGGGGTTTCTTTTTCGTATTTTCCCAGAAAAATTTATCTTCTAACCCGTTTCCGCTCTCAGATCAGGATAGTCATTGTAGCAACTTTTGCCCTTTTGTCCAGTTCTGATTTAGGGGCATTTCGGAAATTTCCTTTGAAAATAAATTCTGGTTTTGACATGCTCACATAGAAAACATGATTTTAGGGGGGGTTTCTTCACAACATTTTTCCAGAAAATATCATCTCGGACCCGAAAACCCCGCGTCAAATCTAATTTCCTGTGCGCACCTACACTATTTGAAAAAGTCTGTTGTAAGGGCATTTTGGGGATTTCACGTCAAAAATAAAATTTTCTTTTGACATGGTCAGTTTGGAAAAATTATTTTAATGGGGGTTTCTTCTTCGTGTTTTTCCTGAAAATATCGTTTAGTACCTCAAAATGGCACACGAACTTCAGCATTTTTCCCAGGTTACTATTCACGGCCGCGGCGACGTCAAAACTTTGTTTTGACTTTTCTCTTCTGTCCGGACTCCAAATCATGCGATTATTGAGTCCATTTTAATTATTTTTTCGTTGTCTTTCCAGCGGTGTGCTCAGTGGCACCGAAATCCATATTTTTAGAAATGACTATTTTGCCCTTGAGGCTATTTTTGTCCGGTTTTCTTGTAATTCGCTTCCACTACTTTCTTTTGAGTTTCGTGACTTCATGGGAAGTCACGGATGTGTTTTGGGAATGATATACATTCTAGGGATGTCATTTACATGTAAAAAGACCATTTTGCCCCTGGGGGCTTATTCGTCATATTTTCGATCTGCTACTTCCGCATCAGTTCTCATTGAGTTTCACGACCTCAAGGAAGGTTACTTTGACTTCTTAGAGTCTTGTTTTCTGTTTTCGCTTCCGCATTTAGATCCGTTATCGGGTCAATCTTTGGTTCATCACAGAACGCACTGGCTTAAAAACCAAGGTCGTCACATGCGAACAATTGGATTTATGGGTATGACATTTGCAATTGGGTTTGATCTGTGTGATTTGGTTTTTATTTTGGAAATCAAAATTGCAATTGGGTTTTATCTGTGTGACGGAACCTGGTCATGAAAAACCCAATTCCAGTTTTTGGTTACATTTGCGATTGGGTTTGATCCTTTTTTTAATAATTTTTTACATTTTTATTTTTATCCAAATACTTAATCTCTGATACTATTTTTTTCCTTCTCAGTTATCACACAATGAGATGAAGAGACGGGAGAGGGTGAAAAAATAGCGTTATTGGTTTTATATTTTCTTTTTTTCTTTTTCTTTTTTTAGAGTAAGGAAACTTTATTTTCTCCTTTTATCTCTAAAGCTTCTTAATCGAACAGGTGTAAAGGAGAGGTCGTTAATATATCGCATTACAAGTATATATACACACACACACACAAGGATGGAGGAAAACATAGATGTTGGTGGTGGTGGCCGTGGTGGCACCCATGGTGGTTGGTGGTGCAGGCCCCAAATAGTTTTAAGATTTAAATTTTTTTTTTTTTTGGTTTCTCTCTCTCTCTCTCTCTCTCTATATATATATATATATATTATGTACTTCAGGAATTTACCATAGAAAATTAAGGGCATTTCAGTAAATTAGCAAGGTTCGTTAGTGTATTTAACGGTTCGTCATACATAATGAAGTCCGTGTAGGATATTTTCAAACTTAGGGAAGGTTCGAGTAATTTCTCAAACAAGAGGAGAGGTCCCTATAATTAGAACAAATCGGGAAAGTTTGTGTAAACTACCCTTTCATTATTATTACTACATAACTTTTGTCCATTCCTAAAGTATAGAATTATTGCAAATATTGCTCACTGCCATCGCTCAGAGATCTTGTCATTGTAATTGGGTTGGGAGTTAATTATATAAGAAGATGGTGCCATACCCCCTATATATATATATATATATATATATATATATATATATATATATATATATTTTTTTCTGGGCCGTGGTATCGCTCTCTACCACAATGTTACCTCAACTTTTATATATGTATGCACTACTAACCTCAATTTCTATTTTATTGTGTAAAAAAAATTAAAATTAAAACCATGTTTGTAACAATTAAAATTCTTCTCTCTCTCTATATATATTATTAATAATACTAGCAGAGTAATAAGTTGTATCTGACTTTTCAAAAACAAATAAAATTTGTAACACTAGAGACCAGGATATTAATATAAAACTGTTACAAGAACAATTTTTTTATTTTTTAATATTCAACAATTAAAAATATTTGACAATTTGTTTCTGAAAACATTTGGGTAATTGGATTGGGTGTGAGTTTGGCTCAGCCCATTTAACACCCAACCCATTTTAACCCACCATAATGGGTTGATAATGGGCTAGTGACCTATTGCTATCTTGCCCATTCATGATTAGCTCAAAACTCGCTCAAACCCACCTAATTGCCACCCTTATATGAGTGATAATAATTTTCGAAAGATATTTGAAGGTGATATTGGATCAAACCTATGAGGGGCAACCCTTGTATTTTTATAGAAGTATGTTGGGCTGTAAATGGTTTTATGGGTTTGTTTCGGCTATTTAAAGCATTAGGCCCATATTTTTAAGCCCACTTACAACTTTTTTTTACTCGTATTAAAATAAAATAAAATAAAAATCGCAGTGAAAATGCGAAATGAAAACTTCAGACTAGGGCATGGAGTAACTTCTCTCTATTTCATACTCTCTCTCTCTCAGTGTGGCGGTTTACTTCGACGACCTCTGGCGAGGGTTGGCAACCTCCGACCGACAAGCTTGAGGAACATCCAACGAGCTCCGTCCAGGTCTCTGTCTTACATAATAATATTCTCTCTCAGTTGCGATTGGCTTCGCGCTTGAGTGCTGAATGCTGGTGGCTAAGTCTGCTTCTAATTCTGGAATATAGTAGCCCACTCCAGCGAGCTATAGCTTCTTCCGGCAGACACGAACTAGTCTAAACTTCAAAGGTACCAATTTTTTTGTTGTTGTTTCCCTGTCTAATTTCTGTTTATCCCTCTTTTGTTTATTGCTTTTGTTGGCCTGTTGTTGTGATGATATTGGTGTTAATGTAGATGAATACAAATGTCACATATTGTAGATTGAACTTCATTCCCTTAGATATTTCTATGAACTTATTACTAAATGTATGTTACATATGTTAGGAATGTTATTTTATATATATATATATATACACACACACACACAGAAATGTTCTCTTGCACACAGAACAAGAAAATTATCCACACCATGTATAATCACTATTGGATATGATTGCTATGTTTGTTTTTTTTTTTTTTTTTTTTTTTTTTTTTTTTTTTTTTGTAACTACCATTTTTAGACTTGAATAATATCCACCTATGATCATTAGTCACATATATAAAAATTATTTTATTTCTTACCTTGTGCTCGAATTGCTAGATTTAGAAGGAGGGTATTGGGTTCAATAAGACAAGATGCAGAAGGATCAGCTATTTGAATTGGATAGGAAGAGATGAGATAGAGAACATAGGTAGGAAAGACATATCCGATTAGAATCCTTCATCAGATACATTTCAAATAACTCCCTTAATGATATTATTTCAAATTAATAATTCTTAAATAAGAACATCACTTCATTTCAAATCAATCTATGTTAACATCACTTCATTTTAAATCCATCAACCTTCATGCAACATTTAGTGTTCCCTGGATGGTTCAAAACTGGCTGCATTTGCTTGTATGCCCAACTAACTACACTAGCTTAAATTAGGCATATACTGATCAAGCAAAAACCATTTTAAGCCCATGTCTACACAATAGAAATTAATAAACACATATATGCATCATCCTCAGAAATTTGGGATGGTTTTGCAATTTTTGTGAGTATCTCGAAGCAACTTCAATTTAATACAAACCTGTTTGAACATTTTATGCATTTGGCAGATGCTATAGTCAACTTATTATATTGCCATTGAACAAGTGAAGTAGTTTATCATGTCAGTCCTGGTCTCCTGGTGGGTGTGTATTTAGCGTTGATCGTCATACAATGCTTCCATTGAGTGATGCATGTAATTTTTAAAAGTTCACAAAATGCCCCCTAAAATTATCCTTTTACAAAAATCTCTGTAATTCTTTCTTTCTTTTCCTTATTACTCTTCTTCTTCATTATTATTATTATTATTTTTTTTTAAAAAAAGTTGCATTCCTCTTCTACAATAGAACCCTAATTTTTCCCTTTAAAGTCCTATCATTAATTTTCCTTTTTTTTTTCTTTTTTATTTATTTTTTATTACCAAATTGATAAAAAAATATATACAAGTCGCCAAAACATGTTTTTTATTTCAAAATATTGTATTTGTTTTAGAAGAAGACCCAAGTCTGAAAGAAAAAAGAAGTCATTTTCACTTGTTTTTGCTATTTTAGCTGAACAACTGTGACGATGACTTTTGAAAAAAGCAATATAATGTAAATACCATTCTTTAAAAATGATTCTAACATTTTTTTTATGAATCGTTGGGCAACAGATTTATTAACTGCGTGTTTGCTTCAAAATAAATCACACAACAAAAACACTACTGCTTTTCCTTCATGTGAAATTGAAAATGCTAACTAGAAATTGTTGCCAAGAGGACTTTTAATGTCCATATTTTATGTTTCGGAATTTTTTTACAGCATATATATATTTTTTGAATTACTAAATATTAATGTAAATACCATTTAAAAAAAAAAAAAATCATTCAAACATTTTTTTTATGAAACATTGTGCTTGTGCAACATGTTTATTAAATATGTGTTTGCTTCAAAATAAATCACAACAAAAACACTAATGTTTTTGCTTCATATGAAACTGAAAATGCTAACTAGAAATTGTTGCTAAACTGATCTTTAATGTCCATATTTTATGTTTTTAATTTTTTTTTACAGACTTTATTTTTTTTATTTTTTATTTTGGAATTACTACGGTTCTAGTTTTCAGCTTCTTGTCTTGCCGCATTTTTAGTTGGGATTTATTTATGTATTTATTTTTTAAAATGTTCAATATGCTTCCCTAAAATAAATTCCTGGTTCTGCCATTGGATCATCACAATACTGGTGCTATATGGCGGAATCAACACCGAATTTCATCTTCACAAAGAACATGAAGATCAAATGTTAGTATGTCACTAGTCATGGAGATCAATGAGCTAAAGGTGATTCACGAGAAGTGAATCACATGAGGAGTGGATCTGTTGGCTGACAGCAACAAGAGGTTGAGTGGAGGAGAGTTTACATAACTCTGAATCTAAAGGTAGCTAGTGGATTTGTTTGAGAATCTGGTTAACCTAATTATAAAATTCTTTCTCCTTAATTATCTTCTCTCATTCTGTTGCTACTGCCCCTCTCTTGTGAATGATTTTTTGGGAGCTAGGTGTGCTTCTCAATCTCTTCTTCCGTTGAGGAAGTTTAGGATTTTAGGATGAAGGGTGGAGAAGTTTAATGGGTATCACCCTCACAAGGTGTAATAAATAACAAAGTAGGCTTTATTTGTCTTTAAATCTGTACTCCAATCATTAGTCCTGCGACTATATAATAGGGAATATACTTGTACGAAAGCCCCTGGACAAGCAGGGTTCTAAAACGGATTATCCTTTATGTACGGAACATGAAAAAACACATTGTCAATACAATGTGGAAGTAACACATCCAAGTTTACCTTCTCTATGAATTCTTTTTCTTTTTTGATAAGTACCTTCTTTGTGAATTGTACTCTAGTGAATAGCCCTTAATTTCAACTAGTTGGCATTAGCTTTCATAGATCTATTTAATTTGGCCAGCTCTCAGTCAAGTGCTTATTTTCTAATGAAAGCTGACCTAAATGGAATCCTAAATCTAGCTACATGGTTAATAATATGGCACTGGTTAATGCTGTTCAGATGGGTAGCTGACGTGCTTCTCAAGAAGTGTTTTCTTGATATCACTTTTCTTGCTACAAGTTCCTGTTCTAATTTTATGCAGATGACCACATATATGGATGGATGATTACTGAAACTATGGTTATACCCATGGATGTTGCGGATACAACTGATGGGAGAGGGATCTGAAAATATTATCTTCCGGTTTGGTTGGAAGTTAATGTAAAAAATTCTTTTTCATTTTAATTTTGACTGATCTGAATTAGCGTTATTTTCTGGGATTTAATGAAGCAATTGTAGTTAAAAAAAAAAATTAATAGAGGCCAGTCGTAACAACAGATTTCAGCAAGAAACTTAAATACAAGGAGGAATATTATATAAATATATCTTTTGCTGAGTGAGAAAGCAATGCATTTATCATGTTGTTGACAGTTGTTTAACCATACAGGATAGATGCGGCTTCTTATTCCTTTGTTAAAAACTTTTGGAATAATTTAAGAATTTTATAGAAAAGCTAAGGATTTCTATTTTTATGATGTTAGCGGCTTAATAAGAATGGGGTGGAGGCGTGTCCTTCTACCTTTTTTTTGTTTTGTTTTCTCGAGACGTGTTCATTTTGTTTTCTTAACCTTTTAGAAACCCTAGAATTTTGAATCTGATTATTTTTGCAGTGTAACAAAACTTTAGATTTTCAGAGATGACAGTGTTGAAGAGGTATGTGCTAAGGTTGTTCATATCATTAAAATACATCACAGCGAATGTAGTAGACAGGAACAATGGACGGATTGTTGCAACGGCTTCAACTGTTGAACATGCAATAAAAGGCACACTCGAGTGCGGTCGGTCTTGCAATGCCAAGGCGGCAACAGTTGTTGGAGAGGTGCTGGCAATGCGACTCAAGGTGGAGGGTCTTGAACAGGGACAGGGAAGAGGGATCCATGTTGATGTAAACAAGGAGGTTGAGAAGAAAGGCTTCAAAAACAGCACCAAGATCTGGGCCATTGTCAATTCCCTCAAGAACAATGGAGTCAAACTCATTCTGGATGACCATGGTACTTCTGGGCCAAATTACTGACACCTTGTCATTTAAGCACCTCTTCCGAATCTCTCTCTCTCTCTCTCTCTCTCAGTAACTCCTCTGTACAAAATTATGGATTATATACCTGGTAAAAAATGAGATTCTGCGTTCAGAAAATAAGAAAAAGAAAATGTGACTCTCGCTTTATTTTGTCGAATTTGTAAAATTGAACCTCGAACCAGTCATTTGGAGGTTGTAAAGGTCCTCTCTCTCATTCGAGTTCCTCTTTGGCAAAGTAATTATAGTAAAGTACAGATTATTTATGTGTATATATTTGATTTAATTAAAATTTAAGACTAGGGTTTGATCAAATTTGGATGTTGTATGGCTTCTTACTTCCCGAAGGAAAGTCAGGGGTTCAAGTCTCAGAAGAGATATGTCTGTGTGAGTACTAACTAGAAAAAAAAAAAAATTTGGATGCTGTCCGTGGCATATTTAGCTATTTCTGTCCTTGTGGATATCAAAGGCAACTGGTCCTTAGTTATGCTCAATTCGTCTGGGCTGCTTCTCTTGCTGTTGAATGCAAATTGGGTTTTCTATGTATATGTGTGTATATATATAGTCACGTATTTATTTTAAACAAATTGCCAAAAGTGATGGAATATATGTTGTTAAATCACATGATAATGCTGAGTAGTTTTATCAGGAAATAGACTTTTGCTAATTATATTTCTTGCCTCTCCAGCATATTAACATGTACTCTTTTACTGGAATTAATGCCTATAACGTACACACAGTTAAAGAGTTGACAATAGAGCCAAGACTCAGGAGTCACCTAGTGCCAACTATATCAGCACATAAATCTTCCTGTCATATAGAAACGTTACTGACAAAAACAATGAAGATTCAAGACACAAGCCGATCACCTTGCATTGATTCCAATACTAAATCAAATCACTACATTTTCTTTGTCAGGTTACTATATGAAGTTTTTATTTTTTATATTTTTTCTTTCCGAAAAGGCCGAGAAGTAAATGTATTATCTCTTAGGAGTCTTTGTTGAATTTGTGATGACTCATTCTTGGTATTTTGGTGAATCCATGTAGTTATAGGTCTTTAATAATATTGTTTAGAATTTGAACAATAGTATATCAACTATACGTTAGTGTTATACTGGCATGCTTGTTCACCTTGCATCGTGTCTGCAAACTTATGCTCCGTATATATGTATGTATGGTGTGCTTTGGTTATGTTGTCTTCCCTTCTTTACATATATGTAAATGCATATTTAGTTGTGTTGACTCTCAAGGGTCATTCTTTAGGAACTTCACAGAGAAGGAAATGTTGCATCAATTAGTTTTGGATGAAATTTTTCTGCAAATTAATCTTTTGTAGTCGTTTTGTATATCCTCGATGTTGGGTACATAGCCCATAGAGAATAAAATAATGTAATAGCAGAAGTAAATTTTTATTTATTTATTTATTTCTTCGTAGTTGGTACTCACATACACATGCCTTCATTGAGACTTGAATCCTAACCTCTCTTTGAAAAGTAAGGGTCACTGACCCATAACTAATAACAATAAAAATAATATTTAATGAGCGTCCCAGATATTGATATTTGTATGCCCTGGCATAGAAATTCTATTTATATTGTAGAGACATGTACCTTATTTATCTGAAATTGTATTTATACTTTATACAATTAGTGAATGCAATGTATTATGTTTTGATTTATTATGGAATTGATGTTGTCCACTTGACTGCACATGAGATTTATATGTATGTGATGACGTTCAATACAAGTATATAATTATCAATCATAAATGTTTCAAAGTCGGTAATTAAGGATAAACTCTTATCTTAACTAAGATATGAACCAAATTCGCGATAAATTGAGATATATTGTGAGAGTTGTCGTATACAATTGCTCCCTATTATTGTCATGACATTTGACTCTCAAGTATGAGAGAAGTATATGCTCATTTATTAGTTAATAATTACTTTAATTTGATCGCGGAACCTTTGGGATCCTTTGATCGGTACTTTGGATAATTAGTTAATTAATACTTAGAAAGTTATATAATATTTATGTCGGTGCTACTTATATTTATTTTGTATTGATTATGGTTATCACAAAGTAAATTCGAAGGCATAATGTGTTTTGGACAAAAATAGTTTTTCTATGTATTTATTTACAAAATTATTATTTTTGTTAAACAAATGTTTTATTGTAATCGAACCCGAAATAATCAATGAACCAAAATGAATATATTAATTAATGGTCGGATTGATGACTTTAATCATCCAATAGCTAATTATGCATTGAGGGGTCAAATTGTAACATTGAATTAGTGGTCAACTACTTTTCGATTGGAGTGCAATTAATTTTGTTGGTATTTGTATGTGCCGGCGTATCGAATGCTATTTGAATTGTAGAGACATATGTTCCTTACTTATCTAAAATGATATTTATAATTTATACAATTGGTAAATGCAATGTATTATGTTTACATTCATTATGAAATTGATGTTGTCCACTTGATTTCACGAGAGATTTATATGTATGTGATGGCGGTCATATACAAGTTTATAAATGGCAATCATAAATGGTTCATAATCGGTAAGAAATGATGAGCTCTTATATTAATCAAGATGCGAATTAGATTTGCGATAGGTTGAGATATATTGTGAGAGTCGTCGTATACGATTGCTTCATATTATTGTCATGACATTTGACTCTCAAGCATGATAGAAGTATAAACTCTAATTTTAATTAATAATTATTTTGATTTGTTCAGCAGAACCTTTGGGATTCTTATACATGCTCTTTGGGTGATTATTTAATTAATAGTTGGAGGATTATATTCCCAATATTTATATCGATGCTATTTGTATTTATTTTGTATTAATTATGGTTAATCACATAGTAAATTCAAAGGCCTTCGTATATTTTTGACAAAATAGTTTTCTTTATATTTATTTACTAAATTATTATTTTTGTCAAACAAATGTTATATTGTGATCGAACTGGAAATAATCAAGGAATTAAAATAAATATATTAATTAAGTGGTTGGATTGATGACTTTAATTATCCGATAGCTAATTATGCATAGAGGGCAAATTGCAACATTGATATAGTAGTTATTTACTATTCGTTGGAGTGCAATTAATTTCTTTAAGTGGAGTAAAAATTAATTTATAGATAATGTTTTTTTTCCAAAAAATTTCTCTCTACGCGAATCAAATCAAGCTCTTGATATCATTGTTAGGGAAATGGAGTTTTAGGAAAAACAGAGGAGGGGGGGGGGGGGGGGGGGGTGGATTTCATACCATGATTTTGATTCAAGTGCATAATCCATTTTCATGCAAGACGAAGATGAAAATTCACATATAAGAGTTAGAATTAGGGGTGCAACTTGGGTTAGGCAGCCTGAGCCCAGCCCGATTTTTCACAGGTTTGGGTAATTATTTTTATAATTAGGGTCAGGCCTGGGTTGAAAAATCTAAACCCGAATTTAATTAGGGTTGAGCTTGGATTGACGTGCTAGCAACTCGAGCAAACCTGAACTCGAATTATAATATTATTTATATATATATTTTTAACTTTAAATGCATTATATATACTTTTCAAATTATGATCACCTTTTTCTTTTCAACTTCCTTTGTTAAATTTTAATTTATTGTATATTAGCATTTAGTAAAATTACTTTTATAAACTTTGATATTAATTTATTTAAAATTTATAATAAGTTTTTTTTTTTTTAAGAGTAATTTAATCAAATTGGCCATATGGGTAACCCGAATTAACCCGATTTTCGAACTAGAAATCTAAGCCTGAGTTAAAAACTAGAAGATGGGTTGGACTCGGGTTGAGTAGTTAAGGTTGAAGGTAGGGTTATGCTTGGCTTGGGTTAAACATTTTTATATGTCGGGTTCGGGTTGGGCTCAAGCTAGACCTCCAACTTGCCCAACTCGCCCGAGTTGCAGCCCTAGTTAAAATACTCACATAAAGACTTGAAAAAGTCTTAAATCTATCCACCAATGGAATGTTCTCCCTTTTGAAGACCTTTTTTGTGACGTTTCGAATTTTCACAAATCTGGATAATTCAATGTGACCCGAAAATTGATCCGATAATGGATCCAGAATGCAGAAACGAAAGCAAAACACAAAGTCGGTGAAAAGAAAATAAATGCGGAAGTAAAATGGTGAAAATAGACCAAATATGCCCCCAAGGGCAAAATGGTTTTTCATATTCAAATAAAGTCTCAAGAGATGTATGTCATTCCTAAAACACAAACATGGCTTACCAAGAAGCCACGGAACTTAAAAGAGAACAAAATGCGGAAGCAAAATTTTAAAACCGGACAAGTTTAGCCCTAGAACCAAAATCGTAATTTTCAGAAAGTTATGGGTGCTACTGAGCACACCATTGGATAGACGGCGAAAAATTAGCGAAGTTAAAAAAAATGTTTACCCAATTCGGAGTCTGGACGCTGGAGAAAAGGCCCGATGAAAAAGGGCATCATGGTGGCCGAAGGGGGGCGGCTCAGCGCCCGCATGCACGCGCGCGGCGCCTTGGTGCTGCTGCCCTGCTACTTTTGCACAGAAAATCAGATTTTGAAATAGGATTTTGGACCCAGAAACGACCTTTTTTGGAAAAATACAAAGAAGAAACTCCCCTTAAAACAATTTTTCCAAGCTAACCATGTTGAAAGAAAAAATTATTTTTGACCTGAAATGCCTAAAATACCCCTGAGATCAGTTTTGAAGAAAAATGTCAAAATGCAAGTTTGCTTCAAGTGTTCAAATGACTAAATATGAAATTGTGTGCTAAAATGATTGTGCACGCAAGTGTAATAAGTGTTTTAAAACATGCGGGAATGGTCCGTGACCCCCAAATATGCCCAATGCAAAATCCGACCTCCTATTAAACCTCAAAAATGCCTTAAAATGGAAAGTTTAAAGCCTACCATCAAACATAACATGTAACCATGACATTTTGTGCAAAGTAAACATTCTCGCAAATGTAATATATATAATAAAATATGTCCCAATGCTCCATGATCTCAAAATACACCATATGCAAAATATGATATGTCTAAATCCCAAAATCATGAAAAATGACCTTTTTAAGCAAATTTTGAAGTCAATCATCATAGATGCATTCAAAGAACCGTTTGTCCTTTGGCCACATGTCACATATAATAAAAGAGTATTAGGAAAAGTGATCAAACACAATTCCCACCATCCAAATTGAAATTCATATGCTAAAGTTTCGTATTTTTCAATTTTTTTCATTTTTAAGCATAATGTCAAATAGCATA